ATGGTCATGAAAACCCCCTTTTATTTCCTGAAGCACCATTTCACAAGTTAGAAATCAATACATAATACTATAATATTTCTTGGATGATTTTCTTGTTACTACAAGACTGTGAAGGAATGTTCCTTGAAAAAAAAAAGTTTTCATGATCAAATAAATTAGGAAAACTCTAGGTTTAAACAGAGTTCAATAAATGTCTTTATTGTAGGACATTTCTGAATTCTTAATATGCTAAGGTGCATGGTAAAGCTCCAAGAGCTGGCATTTGGCACTAATTTGACCATGTTCCTCCCCTCACCTAAAACCATACCTCATGAACTCCTTGTTTCAGGGTTATGTTGAATCATAGGTTGGTTCAAAATAAAATACCAATTTCTAGGTCCAAGATTACAGCTCCAATTTCTCTCTCAGGATGAAATTCTTGAACTGGAGTACAGCATCCATTCTGTTCCCAGTCTTACTCACTGCGCTCTGAACAGTGCCTGACATCACAGGAGCTCACTGATAGTTGCTGAATGAAAGAATAATCATTCAACGTGTCTTTCCAGTCACTTCTCAAAATACACTCCCACTAAGTTTCAAAAATGAGATCCATCTGTTAAACCAACCACAAATCAAATTAAAACAATTTTCCTATATATCCAAGGTCTTAATCCAATGGTTCTCTACTGTTAGTACACATTCATATCATTTGGAGAATTAAAAATATACATTCCTGGGCCCAGCTCCCCTGACTTTCCGTTGTGGGTAAAGAAATTCAAATTTTTAATATCTCAAGGGAAGCTAATGCATCTGATTTTTCTCTGAAAATCACTATTCTAAAAAAAGGGATCACTAAGGTGGGACATTCCTGGGAAGAAGGGTCTTTTCAATCTCCCACTATGTAAGAAGAAAGATATAGTTTTCCCCTCTATCTTTCTGGAAAACAAAATTAAGAAATATTGGTGAAAGTAACAAGAAGGTAGGTTGAAGTTCAACAGCAAGAGGAAGGGTCTCTCAACGATGGCATGGACTTCCTAGATGTAACGACCTTCTCACCACTGTGATAGTCAAGAAGAGGCTGGATATGGTAGAAAAAAACATACATGGCAGATGGTGCTACATACTAGGTTCACCTGCAACCCTGAGATTCTGGGACAAGGGCTGAAATCCCAAACACCTTCCTAGAGTTCAAGGCAGCCAGGCATAGGGGGCAGTGGTGAGTTGCAGAGAGCTTGCTCTCTGGTAAAGGCTTTCAAAATTTAAAAATAATCACCCCAGACATAGAGGTAGGCAGGATTCACTCAGGGAAGTTCACAACTCCTGCTTTATGAATTATTTCAAGTTAATAACTGCCTACTCAACTCCTGAATATAGTGAGAGCTGTCAGCTGAGGAAGTGCATTTTCAGAAAATATCAAGTAGAGTTTAATTCTGAATTATTGAGGGAAACTCCCTGCCAGAGAAACCCTAGCTGGAGTATGCATGTAAGTACTGATAGTCCATTATTATAACCCATCCAGACATTCTCACCCTCTCCTGAGGGATCCTAGTTCAAGATTGCTTTCCTATTGGTACTTTATTATCTAAAAGTGACCTATTACTTTCCTACTGCACACTGCACACTGTGCGCTGCACACTAGGAGATTGCTCTACTAACCCCTAAAGGTACTTGGATGCCAGTCACCAGAAACTCTGGTGTAGAGACTTCAAGTGGAAGAAGCTCTGTGACCTAGTCTCATTCATCTCATGTCAGTTTCTGTATTAAGAAGAGTTATGTAGCTCTTCTGGCATGTGGATTTTGATGAGTCTCTCCAACAAGCATGTTGTCTTTCTCTTGAACTCTTGAATTGTTCACTATCTTGAATCCATTTCTGTAGTTACTAATTAACTTCACAGAAAGTATTAACTCTCGGTTTGGCCAAAGAAGCTAGACAATGCTTGTGGGTTCCAGGTAGGATGAAGAAATTCTTCCTCCCAACATAATTATTTCCCTCCATTTCCATTTCTCAGTGTCCCTAGTGAAGTGTCCCCTCAAAGTGGGGCCTTATGTGTTCTCCCAGCACTCACTGTTGCTATTATCAATTAATAAGTAAATCAATGCATTGTTGGAGATTGAAAGCCATAATAACAATGATGTTAAGTTGACAAAGTGTTTTTGCTCAGGATTCCTGTTTCTATTCACTGGGAGAGGAAAAACCTCCACAGTTTAGGCTGAAAATATTTATACCATTTCTTGTCTGTGTATGATATAGACAGATCACCAAAGAGAATATGCAAATGGCTAAAAGGCATAAGAAATAATGCTCAACTTCAAAATCCATCAGGACAATACAAACTAAATCCATAACAACTTCACACCCATCAGAGGGGCTAAAATGGAAAAGATAGACAATAACAAGTGTTGGTGAGGATGTGGAGCCACTGGAACTCTCACACACTGCTGGTGAGAGTGTAAATTAGTGCAACCACTTTGAAAAGCTATTTGGCATAATCTACTAAAGCTGAATATACACATAACCTGTGACCCAGAAACTTCATTCTTAGGTATGTTTCCAACAGAATGTGTCCCTAAGTTCACCAAAAATCACAAGATTGGTGAGGCAGTTCTCTTCACAACAGCCCCAAACTGGAAATAATTTGAATGTCCACCAGTAATTAAATGGAAACATTGTGAAATATTCATATAGAGGAATACTGTAGGATTCTACTTATGCAAAATATTAAAATAGGCAAAATTAAACAATGTTATAAGTTAGAATAGTGGTTAACTAGGGTGGGTAGTGACTGGGAAGGAGACATGGGGGATTATCTGGGGCAAACCCTGTTAATGTCTTGTTTGATCTGGTTGGTGATTACATGAGTGTGAGCTTTCCAAAAATTCATTAAGCTGTACTCCATGATTTTTGTGTTTATCTGTATACACATTATATTTCAATACAAGGTTACAAAAGCTAATACAGAGTGGTGTCTCAGCTTCTCAGTTGTGGCTCTGTCCTCTTGTTTTCTTATTGTTGAGTAGAGTCTGAGTGTATGTGTTTTGTAGGGCCATGGGGAGGCGTGTAATGCAGTGAGATATGTCTGAATCTCTCCCTGCCCCATGCCACACGCGCCCTGCCAAGACCAACTAATTGAATAATCAGGGGCAGATGCTGAGAGATGGCAGTGGTTTTAGACACCATTTTGCATGTTTCATGTAAGCTGAGGCCTACAGAAATAAAGCTAATGAAGAATATGTTGGACAGTGGGACAGAATCTCAGTTTCATGATTCCAATTTATATCAGCCTTATACATAGGCATAAGTGATTGCCAATTACCTCTTTTACATCCATCCCAAAAAAGGAAATTAACTTGCCTCATTCTTATGTGTTAAGTGATTATTTGCTCTGTTCAAAAGAAAATCTCCTCCTTAGGAGAAAGAACGCAACATCTGTTAACATGAGACAATCAATCAGTTTTCTATCACTCACAGAGAGTGGAATCCTGAGAGAGCCAAACATGAGGAGATTAAGTTTTGTGGGGACTAGAACACATATAGAGCAATTACACTCTTCTAGGAATAGCTATAGCCCTTTCCATAAAAGAGGCACATAATCCCCACAGCTGTCATCGAAACTCTCACTGTCCCCATTTTAGAGATGAAGAAACTAAGACACAGGGATTAGTAACTTGCCCAAGGTCCTACTAGCAAGTTCTGGTGTGAGAATGGCCCTGGACAGACTGTACTTTACCACTGTATTATGTTTAAGCCGCTACAGTGGGGTGCCTATACACCTTCTGAAGACATTAGGACACTGGAATAGGCAGAAGAGAGGGAAATATGGAACGATGCCCCCGAAAGAGCAGGAGACTCATTGCAACAAAACCAAGAGATATTCATGTTTGTGCACGCACACATGTGTGTATGGCCATGTTATAACATATAGGTTATTACACAGCCACATTGATCATTTCAATAGATCAAGCTTAGTTGGAAATTGTTAAATCTTTGTTTCTCTCTATACTTTAAAGACTATACCAAAGAATACCATAACTCTGGTGGTGATGAAAAGATTTTCACTAAATTTGAAGCCACAATCTGGGGAAAAAGTTAAATAGTAAAGTTTTAATTAGCAAGGAACATGGGAGTCCTCATTCGCCAGCACCCAAGCCACTCTTGCTTTGCGCTGTGTGTTATACCATGTACATTACCAACCACATACTCCATTGAGCTTTCTCACAGTCTCCTTCTGGTCATCCCAGAATGTGACCATCATGTGGCTCAACACACACTCACACACACCATCAGGTCAAGGCACTTCTCAACTGCAACGCAGAATGAGATCAACCCCAAACGCCGCTGACTGCCTCATATATTTGATTGGATTTAGAGACAAGTTTCCTTTACACCAATGTTCTTGGCCCAGAGCTCAACAGATGAGGATCACACAGAGGGGAGAGAACACTTGTCCCAAATTCCTCTAAGAGTTCTGCTTCCCTGGATGGCACCCTGCATGCTGCCAGCCCGCAAACACACCACACTCCAAAAGACATCATACATGAGCAGGACAACACGAACCAATCCGTTCAAAGAAAACAAAAAGCCTCCCTTCTCCAGTGAAGTTTGGGCTTAACAGGGCTGCTGAATGCAACTCTGCAATGAAATACAGTTTTCCCATTTCAAAGGAACGTAGAGGCATGCAGCTTGTGAACTTTATATAATGCCTGGTCTCTCAAGGCTTTACAATGCGAATGACATCCATCAAATTAATTTCCTTGAGGATCGTCTCAAACATGGAGAATGAAGAGGCCCAGACCATTAAACATCAAAAGAATGTTCTAAATGGTAATTAAAGTTCTATTATATTTTCTTTTTCTGGGAGCAGATTAGATTAATTCAATTGAGAATATTAGAAGTATCAAAGCTGACAGTGTGAATGGGTCACATTGGCTGGAAGAGCGTTTAATATTGCAGACATCTGTTCATTCGAGTTACACAAAATCTACGCCAAAGAGGGAGCTGACTCAAAGAGCAGGGTACTTACCAAGCCAGCACAAGTAGACACAGCGACGGAGGAGGAGCTGTCATTTCGGATAAATCCCTGATAGAAACATCGCTGCACCCTGGGTCCCCGAGTCTCTGAAGCACCATCTTTTCCAAGTACCTGGACAATAAAGTGACTGCTCAAAATCGCCGAGGGCTTAAGTTCTAAATGGAGTTCCTGTCCAAATGCTGAAAATCGGTAATGCAGGGAGCTGCTGGCACTCAGCGCAGATCGCTTTCTCCTGCCGCTGTGCAAAATGTCGTGTGAAATATATGACCCGCCCGCGTCCACTTCTACCGGTGTGACAAAGACGTAATCTGTAAGGGGAAAGGTTCAGCTGTCAGCACCCAGGGACCACAACACCAACCAGTCACTCCCAAAGGGCTGGCAAAGAGCAATGCACAGCTCAAGGACATCCTTGTTCCCATCGCTACCAGGCTGGATGAAGTAGAATACAGAGCAGCTCACGAAGAGAAGCCCGCGGCCTTCACAATGAGCTCTGCCTCAGTAATTACTATAAAAGCTGAAAGTCAAGCACAATCTTGAAGAATGTCAAGAACATTTATGGAAAAAGCCACAAACCCTCCCGGTCTGGGGAGAGATAGATGGACTTTTTTTTAATATATTAATCATAGAGCCATTCATTCATAAAGATGGATTTTTGGGGGGGACAAAATTAATAAACACAAAACTACCAAAGTAAAAAAATGAATCTGCTTTTTTATTAAAAAAGGAGATTACTATCTTGGAGTTTAACCTGAATTGGGAACATTTGGGGGAGGGGCAGAATTTAAATTTCAATTGATAGCTCACAGTGCTGAGTAACTTGAGAGGATACCTCAGAAAATTAACAAGTAACTGCAGTTCCTATTTCCAATATTAATTATACATGACCATAAAACTCCAGAACTTGTAGCACTCTTAACATGTTAGCATGAGCTTTCCCAGGGACAGTCCCATTTCACTGTAAGCACAAAACACAGTGGATGCAGAAAAATACCTCGACATTGTCGGAGCTTTTCCCACACAGTCTGACGTTTAAAATTGCTCAGACATGTTGCCAGACCAGGGACACCTGGAGAGGCATGTTTAGAAATACCTTCGCCATTGCTCCCCAGAGCGGCACTAATTGCTGCTTGTTCCAGGGAGGAGGAGCTACAAAACAATTTGCTGCTTGAAAAAAAGGAAGCCAGCACACTGCTTTCTATCACAAAACATTGAAACTGAAAAGTATCATCCCCAAAAAAGATCTGGAATATGCCCTCTGTGCATTCAAAAACGCTCTGCATTTCCACTTTCTAGGCACAGAATGGGAAACTAATTTGGAAAGTGTTTAGAAAGATTCCGAATAACTAAGAGGCATGTTTGAGTCACTGGGGTCCTTGGTTACAGGAGAAAAAAAAGAAAGAGGAATTTCCCTTTCCCCAAAATAGTCAACAACCCCCCCCAAAATGAAGAAGCCCTGTAATAGGAGTCAATAAGTATTATTACATTTACCAAAAAAAAAAAAAACCCCAAAAAACCGGTATGACAATTTTAAGATGTTTTCTTCTGTACGACCATCTGTGACTCTTACTGCTTGAGCGACTCATTCTTAGAATATTCTGTGTCCTGCCCCTTTCACGCCCTCTTTGACTCCTTAACTAGAAGTACTATTGAATTAAAACACATATTAAAAAATTGGGGGGGGGAGTGTTTCTCCTCTCTTAACCTTGAGAAACAGAGCAGGTGTACACTATTTATCTTTTAAAAACCCTTAGATATGATGCTTTACAGGTACTTGTCTTTTAATTAAATGCAGCTTTTTCTCATTGAAAAGCCACTTCCTCCCTTACTAAAAACTGTGAAAACCATCCCTGACACATGTAATAGAGCCTCTACAATAAGCTATTTCTTACCTCCTTGCCCAGGACCACCTGAAACTCTGCTCTTAGCTGGGCGGCCATGTGGGAGCCTTAACCAGACATCTTTAAAGGTATCAGCCCGAAAAGCCATCCCCCCAACCCCACCCACCCAGACACCTGCTACTGGTGGGCTTCGCAGGGGAGAAGGAGCAGACCGACGGTAATGCCCGGTCCTCGGTGGGAGGAGGCGCAGTGGGAGCCTCGGGTAGAGAACGATCCGGTCAGCCAGCTCAGGGGCTGACTCAAGATGAGGTTCTTACAGGCGGTGGCTGGAACAGAGGGGACCCGCAGCCATTTGACCCAGATGGGACAATGGGAAGTTGTCTTAGAAACTGCAGCCAGCCTTTCTGGTTGGACAAAAGGTGAATTTCTGAAGAGCTCATTCCTGACTCTTTCCTGTCCTCTCACTCCCTCACTCACTCCCAGGCACAGCCCCTCCCCATGCCTCCGCCCTTGCCCCACCCCCAGTCTGTTCCCTTGTCCCCTGAAAGGAGGAGACAACCCTGTAGAGCTAAAACTTAGAGACTCCACATCAAGGTCTTGCTAGACACGTTGGATCAGGGACCAGCTGTTCTGTAGCTGGTGAGAACATGGAAACAAGGATTTTCCTTCTGGGGCCATCAAGAAGTTAATAAATGACAGAAGTGAAGGATGTTCCGGAGGTTTTTGGCTGGGGAACCTCCGAAGAGATAAAGACCCCAGAGACCTCAAGCTATCTTCTGTCCTCTAACAGTGGTCTTTGGGAATCCGGGACACCAGGGCAAAGACGTGGAGAAAAGACAGGAAAGGAAGACAAGGAACAGAAGTGGAGAGGAGAGGGAGGAGAAAAGATGGGGGAATGAAAAGGTTCATGTTCTTTCGCCCCCCACCAAGGATTAGTTCCTGCCAGCCTTCTCAGGAGAGGAAAGAAAGGAGGAAGGTGCCTTTTGATATCAACCACCTAGTCCACGTCCACTTCCTTTCTAATTTCTCATCGCAGTGCGATTTAATTTTTAAACAAGCCATCTGTGAACAAGGGAAAGTATTGTTTTCTCATTTATGTGATTTGAAGCTTGAGGCATTGATTCTTTTGATAAGTTCAGAGCCCTTGCCACATACCCCCCTCTCCAAACAGGAACCATTTCCAAAACGCGCACACACCTGCCACTTTGGGGTCCGGATGGGGGTGGGGGACGGGCTTTTCTACCTTTTCCCTCTTTGGCGGGGGGAAGGAAGGGACAAGGTGCCTGGACAGACCCTTCTGGGGATGGCGGGGGGTCAAATACGAACCATCGTTTAATCCGCTGCCGCCGCTGCTGCTGTCACTGGCTAAGACTGAGGCGACCGACGCACAGCAGAGGCAGCACAGCTGGAGCGCCTGCAAGAGAAAAGGTGACATCGCGCGTGAGGGGCGCGGCGGAGCTTGCACCAGGCGCCCCCTGCCACCCACTGTCGGCGCGCCCCTCGGTGGGCACCTGCCTTGGCCACACGCCCCAGTCCCGCCGAAGCCCACGGCGGGCCCGAGCCGGCGGCGGGGAGGGCGCACGCGAGCAGGAGGGCGCACTCCATGGTCAGGTGCGGGCGCGGCGGCTGCGGACGGCGCACATTCTCCCCGCCGCCCCGGAGCGCGGCGCTCCAGGTGCGGCGCCAGGTGGGAGCCGCCGCCGCTCACATCGCGGGCCCGGCGCGCCGAGGCCTCCCCGCCTCCGACCGCCTTCTGCCGGCGCCGGCTGCGGAGCTGCCGCCTGCGGCTCCCCGCGGGGCACGGGGGGCTCCCCGGGCCGGGGCTGGCGTGCGCCTCGGAGCGCAAACGGCCGGGGGACTTTGTCCGTGCCTGCCCGCGCGCTTGCCCGCCAGTCTGTGCGTCTGTCTGGGTCTGTGCGAGCGTCTGAGGCTCCCGGGGAAAGCAGCGCCAGCTGGCTCCCCTAGCGCGCCGGAGCCGAGCGCCCGCCTCTCCACCGCACGGTGATTGGCGACCAGCGGCTCCTGGGCCCGTCCGAGCCCCCGGGCTGGTGCAAGGGCGTGGGATTCCCGGCTCCCACTCCGAGGGAGGGGGCGAAGGGGGAGGGGAGGCTGGGTGAGCTCGAGGGGGAGGGAGGGACCCACCGCCGAGAGAGAGAGCGGAGCGCCCTGGGTCAGGCTTGGAAGACGTAACTGAAGCGCACGAAGAGATGAGCTGAGAAAGGGGGAGGCTCAGGTAAGTGGCGGGACTTCTTTGCTGCCTGTGCGGACTTCTAAGTCTTCTGGGTGGCGAGGCAGACAAGGTATTGAGCCTTCTCAACACCTCCCAAGTGCCAAGCGCTATCTCCTGCTTTATCCCATTTACCTTGGGCCCCATCCTTGCAAAGGTGGGAATCATTAACCCCTTGATAAAGATGAAGAACGTGGGCTCAGATGGGCTCAAAATAGCCTGGCATATATAATTTTGAAATTCGCAAGTCCAGGGCAACCTGGAGGGCTGGAACTGTGAGCCTTGTCACTGGCTGCAGCGTGGCTGAAGGAGATGAGACCGAGCACACAAGAGATGTACTGTAAAATTATACACCTAAAATTTATATAATGTCATTAACCAGTGTTATCCCCATACATATGAAAGAAAAAGAAAACACACAGCTGTTCGGCTGTGGCCTCGCCTCTTCTCCTGGATCTTTCTTTCTCTCTTCTCCAAGTGACCGTGCTTCCAACTCCTAAAGATTGAGTCCTGGCCCCAGACCCCCGATCTGCAGAAATCAACCGTTATGAACAGTGTGGCCATCACCACGGATGTGCATCCCATTTGCTGTGTTGCTGTTCATTTATTCAGTGCCTCTATTTGATCCCTACTGTCTGCAGTGGCGAACAAAATATATTCTCACAGGCCAGTGGGAAAGATGCTCATCGGATAGGTCAACAACAATACCACAACCTACATAATTACAAATACTCCAAAGGAAAAGCGCAGGCTGCTAAATTAGAAAGACTAACAGTAGAATCAAATTTAGTTGGGGGTGGAGGCAGGGGAGTGGAGAAAGGAGTGTATGTGAGTGTAAGATATCTCTTAAGAGCTGACATTTTAAATAAGACCAAACAGGGCGGGTCAGTTTTATAAGGAAAAGGAGAAAGATCCCTAGTGTCAGGAGAGGGGGTGCAGAATAGCTGAAGGTCATGAAACAGGGGAAGTGCTTGCCATGACGGAGGACTTTCTGGCTAGCGAGAGAGGCACCGGCAGGTGGTCAGGTAAACAGGACCTTGTAGGCTGGGGTGAAGCAGGTAGGAATTAGACTTAAGGGGTGTGTGTGTGTGTGTGTGTGTGAGAGAGAGAGAGAGAGAGAGAGAGAGAGAGAGAGAGAGAGGCAGGTAACCTGTCTCCAATAAAAACAATGTGGGTTGTGTGGGGACATGGATTGCAGGGGCTGAGCAGAGGGGACCGGTAAGGAAGCTGGTGCTAGAGCCTCGGTGAGCAATCCTGGTATCCTGGACCAGAGCAGTTGGCAGTGGAGTGGGCATATACCCTGCTCCGGTTTTAAGGGTACAGAGGTGGGCAAGATGGGGTCCATGTTGCAGCTTAGAGCACGTGACAGCCCCCCAGGGAGAGTCTGTTTCCTTGGCTACCGTGGCGACGAGGTAAACCTGGGCTGTAGGGGCAGAGGAAGCAGCACAACTTCTGCCCAGAGCGAAGCTTTTTAGAATGACCTCAAGTGAGAAAGTCCAGATTAAACAAAACACTGAGCTTTCCCTATGTAATCTGTGGAAGGTCTGTGGCCTCTATTTATAATCTGTGAAATTGGAATAAAAGTAACATATCAAAAGAATATCCCAAGGATTAAATAAATGCATTATATTTTTCTGAGCTTTATAAATGGGATTTCCAAGTAAGAAGAGAGGACACCTGCAATTCCGTTACTTTACAGACCTGATGTCAGACTGCAGTGCGCACAAAAATCACCTGTGCTGCTGGCTTCAAACGCAGGTTCCTGAGCCATGAGCCATGGAAATTCTGATTCAGCAGGTTTGGTGTAGGCCCCATAGAGGCCTTTGTAGCAAGCGCCTGTGGGTGATTCTGACACAGGTGACTACAGTGCTTTATGTGATTTCAATAAATAACTGGACACTAAGGGAAACTGGACATTAAGGACATGCAGTGAAAACAGTGCTTGATGTCCTATCACCAAGCGACAGATGAGATAAGAAGGAGACTGGGTTGGACGGTACTGAATTATGGTGCTGAGTAAACACTAAAGGAAATGGGAGAGGTAAATGGTTTGTTCACAGTCCACTGGGAGTAGCCACGTCCCTCATTTGCATCTCTCCATTGAGATTCGTTTGCATGAAGTCATCTGTACCCCTTGGGTCTCCATCTTTTGCAGCTGGTAATAGAGGTGACTCACCTTGGAGAGGTGCGGAGTCTCAGAGATCCGCTCTTACCATGCTCTGCGCTGGGCTGTGGTGACTTTCAACCTCATCACCTCTGACATTTGGAGCTGGATCATTGCTTGTGCCGGGGGTTGTCCTGTGCCTTGCAGGGTGTTTAGCAGCATCTCTGGCCTCTTCCCATGAGCTGCCAGCAGCACCCCCACAATTGTGACAAAATGTTGTGACATTGCCAGATGTCCCTGGGGAGCAAAATCACCCCTGGTGAGAGCCTGGATGAACAGTATGGATTCCAATCCTATTCGGTTGTTTTTCTTCTCCATCAGCCAGGAGCCTCATAGCCTCTCATTCAACTGAAGAGATATTTGTCGCGTGGTCACCCTTTGAGGGGCTGGCGGCAGCCTCTGAACCTGATAATGTAAGAGCCTCATCCTCCATTGACTCTGCAGCCCTTCTCGCGCACCCCAGTGAACCTCGGCACCTGCTGGGCCCCAGCCTTCCGTGGTTTGGTGTAGAAACCAAGACCCATTTCTCACAGATCAGTAGATCTAGAGATCAAAACTTCCTATTCCTTCCATTTGCAGATGACCAGGTCTAATTTCTTCTGTAGGCCCCAAACACAAACACTGCAAAGCCATCACTTCTGGGCTGATTTCACACCTTCAATATTCCAGGAACTGGCCCTGCAATATGTATAAATTGTCTCTAGATGGTGACAGAGAGTCATGAGCAAATGGTCTGGTCCTTCAGTTATGAATTGCAAAGTAGCACCCGCTTCCGAGTTATTTGGAAATACAAGTCTTAGCTGATTTTAAAACTATAAATCTAAGACACTATAAAGAATATCTAAAGTTCACAGTAATCTGTCTCAATCCGTTCAGGCTGCTATAACAAAATACCATAGCCTGAGTGGCATATAAACAACATAAAGGTGTTTTTCACAGTTCTGGAGGCTGGGAAGTCCAAGAACAAGGTTCCTCCACGTAGCTCTGTGGTGAGAGCTCACTTCCTGGCTCAGAAAGCCTCCTTCTCACTGTGTCCTCACATGGTGGAAGGGGCCAGGACGCTCGCTCTCTGAGGTCTCTTTTATAAGGTCCCATCTGCAAGGGCTCAGCCCCAAATACCATCACACTGGGGACTATGTTGCAACATATGAATTGGGGAGGGGGGGCAAAAACATTCAATCCATTGCATAAATTAACGAGGTAGAAAAAAATCCATGTTGTACTCTATTTTATCAAACATAGCCCACAGCAAGGCACACAGCAGGCATTCAATAAATATTCGCAGGAAAGAAGGGAGGGAGGAAGGGAGGAAGGAAGGAGGATATGGGAAATTGAGATAGAGAAATCACACCATTCACTCTATAACTATGTAAAAAAAATTTTCCTTTTTCCCCTCTAAAGTCAATGGTACATTGGTTTTTTTCTTCTTTTTACACTGACATAAGCTTAATCTCCCCCCCCCCACCCCCGCCGCCCAAATAATATGCCTTAAGTCAAATACATCCTCCTGGTCATAGCAAGAAATAAATGGCAATGCCTGTCCTCCGTTCCCTTTTCCCTTGGTCTCTGCTCCATAAGAATGCGTCTCTTCCACAGAGAATAAGGAACGTTTAGCCCCTCTCCCACCACGGCTGAGTTTCTGTACTAGAATAGCCAGCCTCTCAGTAGTTTATTTGCCCAAGGCTAGAGGCAGTATTTGAACTAGACTACTTATTTTTCACAAAGGGACCCAAGGCCAAGTTCTAAGCTCTCTGCACTGTGGCGGAGTGGAATACAGACCTCAAAAAAGCTCTGGAAAAGATCGGGCTGCCTAAGAAAGGGAAGTGACCTTTCTTCACATGAAGTCTTCTCTCCTTATTCTCCCTCATCATGATCTCATCACACACAGGCTTAGACACCTGCTCCAGTGATTCCCCCAACTCACATCTCTAACACCAGCCAGTCCTCCCCACACCTGGGACAGCCAGGATTGGGAACTACTGCTGCTAATCAAAACCACCTGGGTGACTGTAAGAACTACGGGCATCTCTATGAATATTCCAATTAAGTGGGTCTGGGATGAGGCCCAGACATCTGTCTTAACTAACACCTGGGTGTTTCTGATGTAACTAAATATATTACAACCCAGTAATTGTGGCCCACGATACTTATGCCTCCACTTGAATGCCAAAACTACTTCCTAGTCAATAGGATTAAAAACTTCTAGGATGCCTT